TAATTATAATTAATAATTGTAATTAATTGTGATGAATTGTAATTAATTGCAATTAATTATAATTAATTGTAAATAATGGTAAATAATTGTAATCAATTGTAATCAATTGTAATCAATTGTACTTAATTGTAATTAATAATTGTAATTAATAAGTGCAATTAATTGTTATTAATTATAATTAATTGTAATTAATAGTGATTAATTGTAATTAATTGTAATTAATTTTATTTAACTGTAATTATTTGTAATTAATTTTAATTAATCTAATAACTTAATTAAAGAAATTTTTAAACTTAATATACAGGTAAGTTGTGTCTAATGAATTAATTTTTGTTCTAAAAATACGTAGTAGTTCTATGTACACGGAATTATCGGACACCTTGTATATCACACAATTTTAATTAATTACGTATGTAAGATCGAATCCAGACAAATTTGTTTAACATGTATCTATTGTTATCTGTCATATATTTATTATCATACGTCCTTCAGGATTAACTGATAACAGACTGGAATTACCTGAACTGTAATAAACTAAATTTTATTAAAACTCAATGGGAAAGCATAGTTAGATTTTTGGAAACGTATGCCATAATTATTGGATAATCTTTCAGACATGTATGATTATCAGTGTTTTGTTTATTTATTTTTAAGTACAATAATAAATTAATGTAACAATCATGATCCATCTGGATTATGTTTATCAGAAACTAGATAATGTATAACTTTTTTAATGTTTTAATTACTATGTTAACTTTTATTCTGAATTAAATTATTTCACAAGAAAATAGTAGTAATTTATTATACCGGGTGGTGGCATTATCGTTGGAAACATATGAAATTGCATTCAAGAAGAATTTTTTTTTCAAAATGTTAATAATAAAAAAGTTTTTCCTCTTGTAATCAAGGGACAATCCGGGGACATACTGCATACTCTTCTAACATCCATTACGTTTGTTTTATTTCTGATCCTTTTTTATTTTTTAAACTTTGATGCCCTCTAATTGACAAACGAATCATTTTAATTAAATTAATTTTTATTAAATTTAATAATTCTAATTAATTTAAACCATTTTAATTAATTTTCCAAACGACAATTCTGCTAATTGAAGTTCGTCACAAGCGGTAGTACTATTCACCACTTTAACCAACCAACCAACAGACCAGTTTATTTTATTAATTTTACGATAATGTCTAACAACGAAAGTTTATTTCCTATTTATTTCATTTCAAGATCAAGATACCACAACCGCCTATAACAATAATATTAATGATAACAGTACCCCAAGCGAAAATCTATCCGTTTTTAAACCTCCGCAATGTTGTAAGATCCAAGAAGCAGATACTGGCGATAGCATAAAGAATGACCAAAGGCGAAGTCGTCCAGCCGGACATGGCAAAACGGCCGATTACCCAGTCGTGACCCCGTCGTGGCGAACACTCGGTAGAAAAAGCTAAATTCGAGGTGCGTCACAATTGTCGACAATAAAATCTTCCTGCTATATTAAGAACAAGACTAATGGTATCCAATCCAATCGGTTATACACTAAAAAAAATATAAGCAATTTAAAAAAAAATTGCTACATTATAGTATTTTTAACAAAAAAAATGTTAAAAATCATAAACTTTTGATTTGGTAATTTCACAAAAAAAATCAATTTTGCAAAACGGTTTATTGATATTTAATGATTATTACTAAACGATATTATTTTCACAATGTTTTTTGATTTGAGTTTAAAAATTAAATTTAAATTAAAAATACAATCTTGCAGTAAAAGACATATTCACAAAACTTGTATGAATTTATCATAACGTATTTAGTAAAAAATAACGCCACGTCACGTGACTTTTTGTAAGGCTGATGAGAATTAAGTCATCGATTGAAAACGCATTTAGAGGAAAGACGAAGAACATTTTAATCTAAGCAGTTTTTTGAACAGGTGGGAGTCCCAGAGCGTGGGTGATTAGTGTTTTTATAATTTAAGGGTAAGTATATTATATTAATTATCTTTATATGTCCGTTTCTGTAAATATAAAACCAGCCCTCTTAGAAAACACAATCTCCATTTACTATAATTATTTGCGTTTGAATTTTAGGGATTTTTTATGTAAACATAATTATTCTATGATCTCTCTATATATATCAACATGTTTCTAAGTATTATAAGTATATTTCTAGTATTTAGAAAAGTTTAAAATAAGTAGGTACCCATTGATTCCTCATCTAAAAATATGAAAAAAAGTCCCTATAAACATGGGTATGGAAATGTATAGTTTTAAAGATACAGGATGTTAAAACTTTTTAAAATTAGATTTTTTTTTAATTATCTTAAATTAACTTAAAATTAACTTTATTTTTTATTTGAAATTGCTGTAGGTTGGACTAAAAGTAATAATAACTAATAGTAATAATATTTAATAATAAATTAGGTAAAATAATATATAATTTATTAATTTAAATTTTATTAATTATTATGATTAATAAAATTGTGTTTATCTCATCAAGGAGGCCGAATTCGACAAAATATCAACAGATAACTTTTAATCGGCATTAAACGGTCTACACAATTTTGATATTAAAAGAAAAAAAGTCAGTGGCGCACATGTTTTTTTTTAATATTCCAGTGATAACCTATATGCACGTCCCTGATCAATTGAGCGACACTTTTTTAGCATTAAAATATGTAGCACTTATAGTAACTTTTACCCTCAAAATTTCATTCGAATCACTAAAAGTACTTGGAAGAAAATTATAATAAATCGAAAGATTATTAAAACTTTAACACCCTGTAGCTACGAAACAACGCAGACTCGGACCTTTGTCGATTATGAAAAATAAATCTTATTTTTAAGTGAGGAATCTTCCCACCAGAGATGGCACATGTTTTTTGAAACACCCTGTATATATTTTTTTTATTAAAAATACTATAATGCATCTACATATTTTTTTTTTTGAAAATTACTTAATAATTTTTTCAGTGCAGATTGGAAATTAATTAAACAAGCAATTCTCTTAAAATAATTAAGTAGACTATTTAAAGATAACTGTATTTCAAAGAGGACCTATCCTTTAAACCTCCGCAAACATCCAGCAAGATCCAAAAACTCGATAGGATCGATCTGATAAAGCGCGAAGCAGGCATAACGGCCGGTCGACGGGCCGTGACCCTGCGCCACGGAACAGCCGGTAGAAAAAGCGCTAAATTCAAGGCGCGCCGCCAATGAAATCTTGGGACGTGCCGTATCTTTTTGCAACTGCAGCGATTTCGATACAGTGCAACAGGTGCAGCGAGTCAAATAAAATGTGCAAGTTACCTTTTTAGTATTTTCGTTCAGGTCAGGGGCGTGCTAAGAGACCAATTGTATTGAGAAGGACACGTAACCAATGGTAAAGCTTAATATTTTGGCTTGAAAGTGACAGACAATGATGCATTATAAAAATAGTATTTTATGCCTCCTAGTACTCATAGTAGTAATAGTGCCTTAACCTATCAAAAACTAAAGTTTTGTCATATAAAAGTACTAAACAACCTTTTGTACTTAATAACACCACTATTGACGTCGTGGACTCTGTGAAATTCTTAGGACTTATTGTAGACAACTCGTTAAAATGGGACTTGCACATCGAAGCACTATCAAAGAAACTAAGCGCTGCCTGTTTTACGGTAAGATCAGTTTCTAAGGAACTTAACTTCTCAACCTCTAGAATAGCCTATTATGCCCTTTCTGTGTCACATTTTCGTTATACCCTTCCATTCTGGGGTACTTGCTGCGCAACAAAATTTGATCGTATTTTCAGACTTCAAAAGAGAGCAGTTCGATATTTATTGGGACCGAACAGTAGAACTCACTGCTAGAATTTCTTTAAAAATTTCAAAATACTGACTCTTCCTTCTTTATTCATTTTTGAATCCGTTTGCTTAATCCGCAAGCACATATCTGCTATTCCCGAAAGGCCATCTCATAACTATCCACTTAGGAATGCGGAGCACGATCTTTATCTGCCAACCCCGAGCTCAGAACTAGTTAATGGTTCAATACTGTACAATGCCAAAAAAATGTACAATCATCTGCCTTTGAATATCAAGTCGCTTTCATTCTTTCCCGCATTTCGCAAAGCTCTGAAATCATACTTACTGGAGAGAGCCCTATATATGCGGTAAACGACTTTTTTGTTAATGTTTAATCATGAACAATTTTGAATTTTAAAATTTTGATCATCTTACACACTGTTTTTTTTTATTTAGTTTAGATATATTATCATCATTTCAGTAGTATACATGAAAGTTTTTAAAATAGCTTATATTTTTCTACCACATATTTTCCTACAAACGTAAAAAACCGGCAACACTGTATGCCGCTTTTGATTTTGTCTTTCTATCTGTCAACCGATCATTTATATTATTCTCTGTCGCTCACATTAAAATCCAGACCACAGAAACTAGATGCCCAGCAGGGTATGTATCAGTGTATGGATATAAAAATAGTAAATAGAGGGGGGGTAAAAGGGGAATAGGCCGAAGGAAGTTATTCTGGCTGAGAAATATACGTCATTGGACAGGTATACAGGACTTCCTTGTACACTTCGCACTAAAAGAGGTTCTAAAAAGAACAATATTCGACTTCAAGGTCTGCTAGTAAACATTTTGAAGCTTAAAGTATCACAACACTATTTATTTAAACTAAAAACTCGTAATGCAAAACTAAAGTGTCAAAACGAATGACAATGTCAGGAGATAAATAAATAAATGCGGCAACTTGACATTTTTTACAGCAGAGCTACCACCTTAATCTCCAGCGCGAAATTTAAATTCCAGTTAGTCAGCACGGCGCCGAATATGTCCATGGTTGGCAACAATGAATTTAAAAATCGCGCCCTCGATTACGTAACTAAAAGTTTAATTGATATTAAATATAAGTATTATCGCCTGTTTTACATAGTGGCCATAGATAAAAAGTTTTACAGAAAGATGAGAAAAATGATAAAATGGAAAACTTACGACTCTCGTCTGGACTTTCCATCGAATCACCGTTGAGATGCATCCTGCTGGGTCTGTATCTTGCGTCCACCATAAGAACAAAAAGGAAATCACATCTCAGGAAGCACACCTAGAACAACAAACCGTTGCGTGAACAATTACGTAACATTTTCCTGGTTGCTTAATTTATTCATAAACATTAACGCTAAGTAAATTCATAATTGAATTAGCAGTACACGCGGCCTTGCTCATTAATATCTATGCGATTTTACAGTTTATGGTTTTTATCGTAATACTGTACGGGGGTAAACTAATAAGTACCAGTATTAGTCAATACGGAAGTTTTTATTATTTGTCTTATTAATTGTCTCTATAGTAGTCTAGTATAGTTTTCTCTATAGTAGTCTAGTCTATCTAGATTCGGCTACAGGATTAGTAAAGTAAGTAAAATCTATTTTTTACACACAGGATATTTGTGAATGCGGGAATACACAGGTAGATGAAAAAAGTGAGTTGATCGGGATGATTTTTTTAAATCGAACACCCTGTAGGTATATAATTGCATTTTTGGTTTCTTTTCAGATCGCTTTACATAATTCTAAGATATGAGAAAATATATTTCGATAATTTCAGAGATATTAATAAATAAATAAAAAAATATATTTTTTTCAACCTTCCTTAAAGAAATTATTACAAATACAAGAACTGTCCTGAAATCAAAACTATATTACCTTTCCTCAAAACTACTTTTTAATGGACCCCCGTATAATGCACATGCCTTATTCAATTAACTCTAACGTTTCAATGTTATAAAAACCACATAATTAATACATTAAGTGAAAATACGTTAAAGTCAATGGGCTGCAAAAGAAAAATGGTTCGAACGGTAACTTATACACCGAATGGATTGATCACAATTAGGATTGATCATTAATAATAAATATTTGGGTCACGCAATGGTATATACGCACGCATTCCCGCATATGGCGTCTACCACGTAACTATACAGAGTGTTCAAGTAAAATGTAGATTTTTATTTCAAGTAAAATGTAGTTTTATTTACTTTTTGACTTAATACTGAAGTCTATTTTGTAGTCTCTTTCAATCTAACATATCATATTTCAACTATTGACATTTTTGCTTAAAAAAATTGTATTTTAAATTTCAATCTAGAGTGCCATGATTGTGTTAAAAATACTAATTTTTAATCAAGGAGCCTTGGAAAAATAGATTTGATTGTCTAATGTTTTTAGTGTCTTGTCCTGGCCGGTTAAAAGATGCCTAAATCGTATTTTTAATCATAGGTATCTCATTTTTTAATGGAAAGATGATGGCTTATTAGCATATTTGGAAAAAGCATTTTTTACGAATAATTTGGTACCACACACTTTGTGAACCGCATGTTACAATTTTAAATAAACTATATGAGAAAATGTAGAAAGTTGACATAGGAAATGTCAATTCTATTCACAGTATCATATTCTATCGAATAAAGCTTTGAATAAGAAGACTAAGGAAGGAGCATATCAAAAATCTTAGGTCCACCGCGATGGGCCTTAAATATGGCCGACTTAAATTCCGGTTTATCAGTGCCGTTCTAATTTTATTTAAAAAATGTAAAACTATATGATGTAGGGTAGACGTGGGGTAGACTCAATAATTTTTTTTTATTTTACATTGTGAATAAATGTTGGTAGTTATTAAAATTGTTATAAAAATATAAAATTCTAATAAAAATAGATATGTTATAATAATTATTTATAACCATAAACATCCGATACGCTACTGAAGCGGGTAAGTTAAATTGACGTATCTAAATTCTTTGACATCTAATCTTTGACAAGTAGTATTTACCACTACTACTAAAAGCAAAAATGCAAGAAAAAAGATATAATTAGTTAATTTAAGTGAATTTCATAAATGATCGGTTTACTACACGTATGTATATTATATAGTCACCTACTAGCGAAACGTTGTTTCATTATTTCACTCGATTTTTGCCGAGATCTACCGCACGCTACACAACCAACTATTTTAGAGTCTTTTTCGATAAATCGCGATAGTGTCAATGAAAATCTGATGAGTGTCGTTAATTTAAGTTCTGCCACAATTTCCATCTAGATTTACTGCCTTTTAACAAATATCGGTAGTAGAATAAATAATAAATAACATAAAATAAGTTCCGTAAAGACTGACAAATCCACAAAGTTTCAAATCAAATTCAAATGTGTCAAATGAATCGTCAAACAGAACTGTCAAGGATCCCCACCCTAGAGTCCTTTTTCCGCCCACCATGCATGAATACATGGATAGCATTATGCTCCTTCCTTAGTCTTCTTATTCAAAGAAATAAAGTAACAAAATACCGAGGGTGCTATTTAAAAATCAAAAGTTGTCATTTCTGGTGAAACAGGAAGTGACCGAAAACAATTGAATACGTCAATCAATTCTAATTTGTGTCATATACTAACATACCAAATCTCGATTTTTTGATTTGAAAAAAATAAAAAAGTTATAGAGGTTAGCCACTTTTTAAACGCACCAAAAAAAAATCTTTTAGTTTCTAACTATTTTCTAATAAAAGAATGAAAGAGCACAATTACTCACAATCTTACAAAAACTGTTTTATCATATTTTCCATGTAAGAATTCATGTTGAAGTTCTTCACCTCTATACATGAAAGGAATATAAACTTTAGTAACAATATTTCTTGTACCTACAGGTTACTCTTTACACTGACTAGACTACTTCCTGTCCTTTACAGTTCACTTATTTGGATCAAACGTATGCACATTCCATACCTAAAAGCTAAAACAATAATTGGTCCCGCTATTGTTGCAGCAAGAAAGTAATTGCAAAAAAATTAATTGCCTCTGACAATTTTCGCAAGTAATCCTATTCAATTAAGGAAGGATACACGGATCATTATTCAATCAAGTTCAAACAATTATCGTGTTTTATACTGGCCACATTTTTTTAAAGAAATTTCTATTTTTTATTGCATTTTAAATTTGCTCGGCCTCAGATTCTTAAAGTACGTCATTAATGATCTTTGAATGAAAATATATATTTTAAAGAAGGAGCATATCAATAATCTTGGATCGCACGCGATGGGAAACTAATATGGCCGACTTAACTTCCGGTTCATCAGTGCCAAATACAAACATGACCAAAATTATTGCATATAACGATATTTTTATTTTATTTTGGACCTAATATGATTCTTTTTATATTTTTGACATATTGGCTTACTACACGACTAACTAATAAAAAATTAAAAATCTAAGTGCAACTAGGCTGTTATTATAATTTTATTTCATAATGGGTGAAAATCAACAAAAACAAATTTTATTTTAAACAGAAAATATTGAAAACAATTTTAATTATTTCTCACAGCTAATAGTTTGTATTGCCTCCTCGACCCTCAATGCAAGCTGTGAGACGACGTGGCATGCTCTCAATTAAGTTGTCCAGAAGATGTTGAGGAATGGCTTCCCATGTTTCGCGCGCAGCAATTTTCAATTGATTTAAGGTACGAGGGGATCATTCCTGTATGGCGTTTTATCATGTCCCAAGCATGCTCGATCACATTCATATCTGAAGACATCGGTGGCTACCACAGTTTGCTGGGGACACCGGGACACGGGGTTGAGCTGCATTCAAGCGTGCTCGTCTTCCAGATGCTGTTTCATCACTAAACATGACGAAATTCTAATTAGGTCCATTTGCTCTCATCTCCTCAGCCCATTGTAGTCGCGTAATTTTGCGTAACTTCCTTTTATGTAACTTCCACAAGCCCTCTCACAGGGCATTTCGTAGACAAGTTTATTTTGTCACCGCGCTTCCCAGACGCGCATATCGTTTAGGCGGTCAAAAAGAAAGTTTTCAACTTTGCAATTTAAACATTTCAAAGGATTAATTAGATTGTCAGTAGCTTTTTCTATTTCTTAGCTCTAGAAACTTCCCCTAGGAGATGCAAGACCTTGTCGTTGGTGGGGAAGCTCCTGGTCAGGTGCTGGGGGGAATCCCCCCTAGCACTTGGCTTGGTCTAAGAAGCATCTCACTCATCGTCTTGTCCCTGACTGTAGTGTCGTGGCCAGGGAATTGCACCAAGACATAACGATACCGGGCGGGGCTACGGACAGCCTCAACCTTGGGGCACCCCATTGTATTTTACCCCTTACTTCTACATGCGGGGCTCTGTAGAAGTGGACCGACTGTCTCTAGCGACACATGGGTACACTATGAGATCTGGTAATAATAGTAATAAAAACATCACCGGTGAAGCTGTGGGGAAACCCCCTAGCAACACTGGGAACAGTAACAATGAAAGTTCCAAGGGGCCAAACCCAAAGAGAACTACAGGAGAGGTGGCTGACACTTGCGTGAGACCACCTCCTCCAAGGGTCGGGAGCCTACCTCCTACCTCTAAACCCAACAGGCGACACAAGCTACCGTTTCGTCTACCCGGCTTGGGTCGTAGCCCCTCGACTGTGAAGGACACGGGTCTCCGTAGGAAGTCCTGGGACTGTATGATGAGTTATAACTCAAGAAAGGGGGATACGATAGATCTTTAAGGTCGCAGAGATTAACCCCCCTCCCACTTATTCTAAATTCTAAATTCTAGCTCTAGAAAGAGATAATTAAAATCTGTTGATAATCGGAGTAATAGAAGAGAAGATTATTGTCATTATTGAATATTTCAGATTCGACGATTATTCGGCATTTTTGTTTTGTGGTTGAAATCCAGACAAAACGTTTCCTTTAAAGGTAAGTTTTATCTCGGTAATTATTTTAACATACCTAATAGTAATAGTGAGTGCACATAATACTCACCTGTTCACTCCCAACTAAGTTAGATAAAAAAGATATTGAAGATTGCATTGCAGCCTTGAGTTGGGCAAGGAGTATGGAATTAAATAAATTTTTATGTTCCTAAACGGTATTTTATTTATAGGTTTTAATTCTTTAAAGTCTAATAATAAATTTTCGTTGTCAACAAAATAATCTAAAAAAACTACGAAAATTCGGTTCAAATATACAAATTTTAAACTTTTGGCGCCAGTATATAGGTATGAATGCGACCTACTATATCGATAATGCGCTCATAGTTCTGGTTAGACGCCAAAG